ACATGGGATCGCTTGATTCTCCACAAGCTCTTCCTTTCTTTCATTCATTTATTTTACAAATACTATTATATATTGAAATATTGAAGACAGATTTTTTGTGCTAATACATAACATTTCAAAATGTTACTGAGAGACACAAACAAGCCACGTTTAAATTAATAGTGTGCATGTTATTTTGGTCTTTTTCACACGCATTCTAACATGCTGCACTAGCAGAGTTCAGCAATAAAAATTTCCCTGTTCATCTACCGCTGCTAAACAAACTAGCATTGTGTCTAAACTCGCATACTTGTGTACTATTCTAGACTGTTATTGAGTATTAATGCTAACTGGTTTTCCTATTTCACTGAGTGTTTGAATTTAAAAATCTCTCATGTAGCCTTTTAACCTACTGAAACGTCTGTTTTTGCCTTCTGAATTTTCAGGATTAGTAAATACTTTTGAATGTAAGGTCGGAGTTTTCGATTTGAGATGCAGCTCATGACAACAGTCACGATGACAGCGGAACGTTTTAATAGAGACTGCGTGTTTATTGTCGCATGAATAAAATCACTAAACATTTTATAGTTTGATTTTGAAACCTGATTGACAGGGATGTTTTGACTGACGTGCTGTATTGAAATTATTAATTGAAATTAAATCTGTACAATTTTAATTCCACTGCATCATTTCATGAATTATATTCAGGCCAGGCCACACTTACTAACTAGTAGATCTGGATTTGGTCTAACTGGGACTCCTGGGAGAAATGTGACCTAGAGCTAGGTTTAAATCAGCTGTATTGCATAAGATCTGGCACCCACTGATGTGTTAAGAACGGAGAGCAGACCAGAACTGGAATACAGCCTTGAGTCACACATCATGTAACACGACGACACGCTGCTGCTTGTATCATATAAAATAAAACCATTGGTCTCAATAATTCAGTATTTAGGGCTTGGCTCATCCAAATCAAGCCCACACACATGCACACACACACACCTCTCGCTCTCGTCTGCAGCCTTCTCTGCCTCCTCCAGTTTCTGCAAAGCTGTGGCGAGTCTCTCCTGAGCTCGATCCAGCTCCTCTTCGACCAGCTGGATGCGCCTGTTCAGAGAAGCAACGTCCGCCTCGGCCTACGTACGAGCCGGAGAGAAAGCAAAGGAGAATGAGAGAGAGAGAGAACATGAATGAGAATTCAACATTCATCCTTGACATGGTTCAGTGGACACCCCAGCTTGACTGACCTGTCACACATGCACAAGCGGCTTTTTCATAAGCTCATTGGTCCTAATTAGTGCAATCTGAATACCCATTTCACACCTGGCTATGTTTTTACAATAAACAGAATCCAAGTCTTAAAAAGAAAAGAAAAAAAGCTAGAGGGTCTAAAGAGAGGGAAGATGAAAACCAGATGGATGAGAATTGTTTGCTGGAGAGAGGGGTGCATGAAAACCCAAAATACGTGCGCATGCCAGGGGTCCCCACAAGTAGGTCAAAATACGCAACCACAATAAGAAAAGCGCAAAATATGACAAACAAGCGATGGGAAAATGAAACGCTGCTGCCATGGCAATGCTGTGACAGCTTGCGAGGGAGATAAACTCGCCAACTCTGCTTAATGCAAACACTATTGCCATGGAGATATGAAAATGTACTGTCTCCTCTAAAAATAAATAAATAAATAAATAAAATGTTTTCAGGGAGTGGAGACGTTAGGAAACGATCACATTTTGCATCTTGAATTTGCAAAACCGGACGGCGCTGCGGTGAGCATCGCTTCCTGTCTGGCTCCGGCCCAAATGAGGGACCACAATCAGTTGGCAAGCACACTTCCTGTGGCAGCTGAGCACGACTCCACAGAGACTGGAAACCTCCTTCATCCTAGACTGACATTCCCAACAAAGGTCAGACACAGAAGACTGACAAAGTCGCTATTAGAGTGACACGACTCAGTGTGACTTCTTTTTTTTTAAAGAACCAAATCAACCAGTCCAACTGCTCTTTGTTTAGCCCCCGAGGTAACCCTGGTGAATAACACTGCACATCACTAACCACTCTGCCTTTTCTTTTTTTTTTTTCAAAAAAACTTTTGTCAGATTTTTTGGAATCCTATCTCTTGTAACATCCTGTAATCTAATAGGGATGTTTTCCTAAATTCTGAGGACCAGTAAAGCATCTACCTCTCTCTCTCTCGACAATGTTAACATTATGTAATCTCTAATACACACTATTCATACACTTATTTGCAAAATGACAGTTCCAAAATGACTTCAACTGACCTCCTGTGCTGAGTTGGGAGAGCCGAGAAACAGCAAAAGCGATTTTATTTTTTAAAAGTTACAGCCACAAGACAGTGACTGTGCTATTTTCATCAAAACAGCCACGCCTACTAGAATCTTACTTATATTTAGAGCTGGAAAATATGATAATACATCATTGTGAAAAAGTAAAACATGAGACATTTTCCACAATGTGCACAGGTACCACACTGAATCAAGCCACTGCTCCTGATCCTGATGTATTCATTTCCGTTTTTTATCTTGTGCAAATATTAAGTAAGGAATAAAACACTTAAGAGTGTGCTGTTAAGGAAAACAATCAATGACGCGGTGACGTGAGGCGACCTGAAGCAAAGCAGAGTTACTGTTACCATTCAGAAGTTGATTATTTTCCAATAACAGCATGTCCTGAAGTGTGTATTCGTCTTCCACCACAGCAAATATTACTATTCATAGTTTATGAATTATCAGCACATCATAATCTTTATCCATTCAGTTACATTTTATGTTAAGTTCTTGTTATTTATTATGTTAAATATGCTATTAAACAATCACTCAATCACAAGCCTTCTTTTTTTTCCTCTTAAAATTGAGGGGGAAAAAATGCAGCTTGTCATGTTAACGAGAAGCACAAACTCCTCTGTCCTGACAGCTTTCCCTGTGTCTGAAAGCGCTGACGCTGGAGACTCCTTCCATAAACGTTTCCTTACAGAAAACAGCCACCGTATCAATGACTTCATGCTTATCATTGCTACACAGAAATAATAACAGGGTCACGATGGCTGATCGGTCTAAAACACCAGACTCAAGGTTCAAACCTTCTCCCTGGTTAAAGGAGGATTCTGGTTATCTAGATGGTTCGAATTTGAATCCTATTCTGACAGGAACGGATCAGAAATGAACTGCAGTTCTTCGGCTTTGCACTTTCTACTCTGCATAACTTGAATTCACAGTAAAGCTGAATCTAATCTAATAACATATTAGAGTATACACATTAATAATTCATACACCTGTGGTTAGGATTATTTTTAGAGCTGCTGTTCTAGAGGATTAATCAACACCTTCTGACCAATCAGATTGAGGAAATTAATTCATCAGCACTATGATTATGGGCATTTTTATTCTCCATACTAAATATTTACAACTTCCTTTGAGCAATACTGTGAAAGTGTGAAATGATGAGTTGTTTCCTGTCTCAACTGTCTAAAGCCAGAGAAGAATACAGCTTCATTGTGAAGGAAAGACACAGGCGTTAGTTTAAGATGATGACCCCTTTACAGAAGCAGCTTTTTGCGGGTTTATTGTCAGGATTTGGTGCTTTTTTACCTGCTCCCTGGAGCGTTTCTCCTCTTCGACCTGTCTCTGCAGGACCTCGGCTCTCTCCTCGGCGTCATCCGCCTGTTGCTGCAGAACTTTAATCTTGCGCTTCACCGCTTCTACACTGTTCACTCCGGCCATTTTTACAACTACACCCTTTCCTCAAGACGCTGTTAAACCCTGTTTAATTCACACAGCAGTGCAGCTGAGCTGTATCAGGTCTGAAATCACCGCGATGGAAATTTTAAACACAAATCAGAGCCCTTAAAATCTGTGCGCGCGAGACAACTGTAGCGACGACAATCCTATAAACAGCCGACTTATTTTATTTTATTTTTTGTTTTTTTAAGTAAAGCTATTACACTTTCACTAATTTCACCAACAAACACAAATGAGCCTTTTTAGAAAGAAAAAAAAAACAAAGTTACGAGGCGAATAGTTCGCTTAGCTTAGCGTTAGCTTAGCTTAATGGTTCAGTTGTGTTAGCTAGCCTTCGCGGATGTTTGATTTTGAGGCGACGAACTGATTTTTCTTTCCCGTAAAACGTTTAGATTTTTGTTCTTCTTTCCGAAAGAAATCCCACCAAGCTGTTCAAAGGGATATATATTTATAAAAAAATAATAAAACAGCAGCCGACGAAACCAACAGAGGCTAAAGGAAGGGTGTAGAGTGTTTCTTTCCCTTTGTAGCTCTCGCACAACCTGCTTTTCTCTCTTCACTCACTCATTAGCCCACTTTCAGCTTCCTCATATTAAAGCCACTTCCGCTTTACCCCGCCCTGGACGCCGGAAGTGACGTTCATCGTTGTACGCTTATGTGATTAAAAGTCTTTGGTTTTTTTTGTTTGTTTGTTTTTGTTTTTTTTAAAGAAAAATTCATAAAAAATAAACTCGATATGTGGAGTAAAATCTGGTATGATTTTTAAAAGGATTTCTATATATCCGTTTTAAATATTTGATATTGCTCATTAAATGTATTTGCAGCATGTGGCCACTAGATGGCGGTGCTCTTCAATGAATTGGGCACCATGGACGGTATGTAAAGGCGGACGTCGTAACAGGGATTCACAAGTGAAGCCAAAATGTCTCTGAGGCCCTGTAGTGGCTGGATACAATTTTCATTCCCATGTTACTCAATAGGACAGGAGGCAAACTTACATTTTAGGTTCTCTACAGTTTATTTTCGGGAATAGTGTTGTCATTTTCACAAGTTCAGTTGACCTTGATATCTCCCCTGATATTTTTCCTCATGATAAATCCGTTTTATAGGAGTAATTTGATGATAAATAAAAGGGTGTGGTTTATGATGTGATTGACAGTTTCGCACATTACAGTTGAGCCTCATGAACATGCACACACCTTCCAACATAGACCTGAAGCTTGGCAGTTCTGTAGCAAAGCCATGTCTTGTTCTGGTGCAAGAGCAGTGGTAGCTCAGTGGTTAAGATGTTTGACTTCTAACCGGAAGGTCACGATTTCAAATCTCAGCGCTGCCACTGCTGGGCCCTTGAGCAAGGCCCTCAAATGTATAAACGAGATGAATGTAAGTTGCTCTGGATAAGAGAGTCTGGCATAAATGTAAATGCTGCAGACCCTCAGTTTTCCTGGTATGTTGCTATGTTTACATGCACATCAAACTCTGTGTAAGGCCTATATTCAGGTCACAGCCATATTCCGAATACGATGTTTATATGCGTCCAGGCATCGGAATATTCCTGTATACATGGTTGTCATAAGTAAGCCTGAGTTGCCATTCCTAAATACCTAGCTTACAGCTAAGCATCTGTTAGCACCCACAATTCCTTGCGGACTGAACACAGACATATATCTCCTAAACACTAGCACTTCTTATTTTAGTGCATTGTCTCATTTTATGCACCCATAAATAACAGTGACATCATTGTTGTCATGTGCAGTGCAGGGGGACACAAGGAAGGAAACACACTTTTCCTAAAAGGAAAGGAAAACCAGAGGATCACAGTGTGAACCAATAAAAAATGCTGAATCAGTAGATAGGAAAGGGATACGGAAAAGGTTAGGGTTAGGGTCATTCTCTTTTGAGTTCTCATGAGCTGCCTCAGTGTCGGAAATGATCTTAAAACCTTTATAACTTGTAGCTTTAATTTTAAGATTCGAATTGAATCCACTGCAGCTCAGAGAAATCAGTTCAGGAGTGGCTCAGGTGTAATGTGTTTTAATACGACACAAACGCTTCTCCATATCTCCTACTACCTAAACATCTCCTGTTTCCAACAAGAAAGTAAACACCATCTGAGAATTCTTACAGATTTACACTTTATTTTATGAGTAATATCTAGAACTGTATACTTATAGGTGATAAACATGCAAAACCCAAGCAAAAGGTGTGAAATGAATTAAATAAAATGATATTGAGAACAGGAAATTATGTTCCCCTGGAACATTACTGTAATATTACTGGAAGAAATTATAATATTCTTCTATCTATTAGTAAGAAATACATATCTGACAGCAGGCATTAAAGCAACTATAGTAACAATGTGTAAATAATAAAGATTAAAATATATAATTACATTTCTCAGTACATAAAGTAATAATAATTTGAAACACAGGTTGTTTATTACACCTGAAAAAAGCCAAATGGCAACGAAAACTAATAATATGTAGAGAATAAACCACTTGAGGGTATGATTTTATAGGAAAATAATCAATGACATACAGCAGAGTTAATGTTATCACCCCAAAGTTGATTATTTTCCTATAAAAGCACGTCCCAAAGTGTGTTATTCCTCTTATACCACAGCAATTTACCAGCAATTACATTTTTTATTTATTAAAGAATGCCATATCATATTTTTTATCCTTTAAAAGTTACATTTAATGTTGTGGAACATCCATGAAGCAAGTTATTTCCTGTTGTCACTTACATTATAAGTAGTAGCTTATAAACTGTTTCCTTGCCGATCTCTTTTTTTTTTATATATATCTCTCTTGAATTTAATAAGACAAAAAAATTCAGCTTGTTATGTTACAGAGAAACCATAAAGCGTAAAGTTACAGTTTTACTTCTGACACTGGAGACTCCTTCCCTAAATGTAATAATGTAATAATAATAATACTACCTGATACAATGTACCACAATGAAATTTCTCTTTATTATGGTTTAAACCAAGACAGTGAAAATGTTAAATAACTGTAACTCAGGGTAGCAAAAGTGTATTTAGTCATTGAAACTGAATTCTGTACAAGTTTAATTGCATTAAAAACCGAGATGCTTCGCTCTTTGCGTCACTTCCATGCTTGTTCCTCTATGCATCCTCAGATCGACACAGAGCCAGAAGAGCCAGCTGCAGCTCCCCTTTGAATTCTTTCTATAAGATAGATGACATAAGTGCACCATGAACACGCAGTGTGTATAGTACAGCTGTAGTATTTAGAAAAAAGTGTCTGAGGTGTGTGATCTGACCTGTATGGTGGAGTAGAGGGAGAGATTGGTCAGTTTGCGGAACTCGACCCTCACCCGCAGGAGGTCCTCTTCACTCCGACCCACCATGATGCCACGAACCACAGCGTTTTTCTGACACACACACACACGCACACACACACTATAGTCACTCTATAACTGAAAAAATGGCAATGACTGTAGATAATCAGCCTCCTTACCTTCATGCAGGTGTGTAAACGCTGGGCCAAGAAGAGTGGTGTGTTTTGGATGGTGTGAACTGCAGAGACATACGACATGAACAATTATTTGCATAAGGATGAACAACAAATAAGCCTTTCAAAAAGTATTTCATCTTAGCAAAAGAAAATCTCTTCATTACAGGCGAATGTATCTAATATTTGTACGCACCCTGACTGTTTCCCATAACCCCTCCCTGCATGCTTCCTATTCCTGTTGCACTTTATTTATGTCCTGTCAGCACTGTGTATGTCATACATGCATCTTACACCTTGGGTCCAGGAGAAACATTATTTCATCTCAGTGTGTACAGCACGCTGTATATGGCTGTGATGACAATAAAGTTCTACTTGACTTGACTTGATATTTTTCATTACGAGTTATAAAAGAGCTATATCCAGGTCATTTTTACTGAAAAAAATAGGGCTGAAATAATAATAATAATAATAATAACTTTTTAATAATTCCATACAACCATCTTATACAACAAGATATAATCATCTTGCTCTATTAGCAGATAATTTTATATGTTCCAATTTACAAATTACAAATATTACAAATTATCTGCTGATACAAGAAGACAAAGTCAAGTATCAAATTAGTAAAACGCTGAAAAGTCTCATATTTGTTTTATAATAATCTTAATAAGAAATATTTCATAAATTTGCCTATATGATATTTTTATGGTGTTATTTTTGTATTTAACTTTGCCTTTGTATTGATAACGTATTTTTTAGTGGATGGATGGAGGGATAGATGGATGTGCTTCCATGATCTATAAGATGTAATTTTGTGAACAAAATGTGATATGTTTAAAATGAGAGAAAGATCCTAAACAAAAAAAAATTTTTTTTTTAAATGCCACTACATGACATTAGAGATCAAAAATTTAGCTCTTGTTCCTCATAATTGTGACATTTTAAGTAAAAATTCTGACTAAAACCACTTACACTTCTGTATGTTGCTCTTAGCTACACTATTGGCTAACTCATATGTTAATCTGTTAGCTAATACTTTAACTGTTTAGCTAAACTTAGCTAAGTTAATTTGTTAGTGTTTAGTGAATAATAAATTAAATTAATATTAGTTCATTCACATCTCTCAGAGTGAACTAGGGTTAACTAATGTAACAGTGTTCTTGCTAGCTAGCTAAGCTACCTTTCTTGGTGCTTAATTGCTTGCTAGCATTCTGTAAGCTGTGCTTTTGTAAGCTGTGAGCGTTTACAAGCTAAGATGTAAACATAGGAAATGAAACTGTAAAACTTTACTGAAGTATTTTACTTTATTACTGACTGGTGGCTTGAAGTCTATGTTTAAGCCGTAGGCTATGTTGTTTTATTCGTCATGATGGTGCTGCTAAAATTTGGTAATGTTCGCTACTAGCTAGCGATGCATGATTTCACAGTTGCTACTGTTGTAATGTTAGCCAGTTAGCTAACTTGCAAAATACTACTACTACTACTACTACCACTACTACAACAACTACTACTACTACTAATAATAATAATAATAATAAGAAGAAGAAGGAATTAGTTGTCATGTATGAACTGATTCTATGGTTGCTTTTGTGTTAGGGGGTATTTTTCAGGGTAAAAAGTTTTCTCAAGACCTTGGTCTAGTATAATTTTCTTTTCACAACATATCATCACACTTCTATGTAAATGTTTCTCTTTAGTCAATGACGCTTTTATATATTTATTTATAAGATATATTTTTTTAATATATCAATTGGTGAAGACTGTACAATTGTTTCCTCACCCAAAATTCGCAGACCCAGTCGCAAGTCTCCTGAGAAGTTGTTCTGGATGGTTTGATCCAATGCCTCACCTTTCTGATCCTCGAGCCTAGAAAGCACTAGTAGAACAGCGCTAAGTCACACTGGGTGCACATTGTGAGGGTTTAGTGTTTGCGGTTGAGGTTGAGGTTGAGGTCTTACCTCTGTTGAGATGGTCAGAACTGCGTGACGTGAGCACCTGAATCCAGGGCTCGGGGTTAGATTTCTTTCCAATAACAGCGTCTCTGAGTTGCTAAACACACCAAGACATATTCAGAGCCTTCACAACTGCTCGACTTCACGACTATTACATTATAAACACAACTTCCGGGAATTTCTTGTTTATGATATGAGACCTAGCGAGGCTGAGATAAAGACACACCTTGACGTCTTGATCAATGAGCTCATAATCAATCTTGCCAGGCGTGTTCAGCTCCTCCTTCTGTTGATGCGACAGACAAATCACTCTGTTTCAACATTCCTTACAAATTAGCTTCAATCAATAACTTTTTGTTCATCAGACTGTACCTTCAATATGGCCAGCACCAGTTTGGTAAATTCTTTACTTGTCTCACTGATCAGGTCGTTCTCCAGATAACGGCCGTATGCTGTGGGCCAAAAAGAACATCAGTAAGTTCTACAATACCACAACACTGTTGAATTCTGCATTCTGATTGGTCAGTAGGTGTTGATTAATTTTCTATAACAGCAGCTTTCACAATAGCACTGATTGCAAGGTTTAGATTAACGCGCTAGTTCGAATACATTATCATTTCTATTGTGTCAACTTACACCAGACTTGAATGATGGACATTTGAATAGCGGGTTGTTATTTGGAAAAAAAAAAGTAAAACTGCATAATCGTTGATATTGTGAGGAGACGTTTATTTAACATTTATGGAAGGAGTCTCCAGTGTCAGTGTTTTGTAACAGTCAGTAGGTTTTCTGCCCCTAGAAAGTCTTCACTTGACAAGCAATAACAAGTTGTTTATAGCTGCTATAACATAAGTGATAATAGGCACTAACGTGTTTCAAGGACGATCTACAACATTAAATGTAA